AGACCGTACCTGGTCATACCTAGGTAAATTACGGATGTCAAAAGAATTTCGGGATTTCAACCAACAAAAAAGCAGCAAACTGAATGGTTAGACTGTAGCTGAATGCCATTGTTGAACCATCCACCATTGTCATTTTGCTTTGGGGGGAGGCGCTGCGCCCTAGGGGTTTTCCTAGAAAATTTCCTTCCTTCGTTGCCGGATCAAAAAAACATTCCAGATCAAAATTAAAGGACCGGATAACCCCACATGTTACCAACTTCTTTAGACTTAGACTGACCATAGAAAAGTGAGTGAGTGAGTGAATGAGTGAACCAGGCGGAGACCAAGGGACGCCAGGGCGTACATCCGACCCCTTGGCAGTGCACATTGTCCCACGCCTGCCACGCAAAAAAGGCAGAGACCAAGGGACGCCAGGGCGTACATCCGACCCCTTGGCGGTGCACATTGTCCCACGCCTGCCACGCAAAAGAGGCGGAGACCAAGGGACGCCAGGGCGTACATCCGACCCCTTGGCAGTGCACATTGTCCCACGCCTGCCACGCAAAAGACGCGGAGACCAAGGGACGCCAGGGCGTACATCCGAGCCCTTGGCAATGCACATTGTCCCACGCCTGCCACGCAAAAGACGCGGAGACCAAGGGACGCCAGGGCGTACATCCGACCCCTTGGCGGTGCACATTGTCCCACGCCTGCCACGCAAACGAGGCGGAGACCAAGGGACGCCAGGGCGTACATCCGACCCCTTGGCAGTGCACATTGTCCCACGCCTGCCACGCAAACGAGGCGGAGACCAAGGGACGCCAGGGCGTACATCCGACCCCTTGGCGGTGCACATTGTCCCACGCCTGCCACGCAAACGAGGCGGAGACCAAGGGACGCCAGGGCGTACATCCGACCCCTTGGCGGTGCACATTGTCCCACGCCTGCCACGCAAAAGAGGCGGACCCCTTGGCGGTGCACATTGTCCCACGCCTGCCACGCAAAAGAGGCGGAGACCAAGGGACGCCAGGGCGTACATCCGACCCCTTGGCAGTGCACATTGTCCCACGCCTGCCACGCAAACGAGGCGGAGACCAAGGGACGCCAGGGCGTACATCCGACCCCTTGGCGGTGCACATTGTCCCACGCCTGCCACGCAAACGAGGCGGAGACCAAGGGACGCCAGGGCGTACATCCGACCCCTTGGCGGTGCACATTGTCCCACGCCTGCTACGCAAACGAGGCGGAGACCAAGGGACGCCAGGGCGTACATCCGACCCCTTGGCGGTGCACATTGTCCCACGCCTGCCACGCAAAAGAGGCGGAGACCAAGGGACGCCAGGGCGTACATCCGACCCCTTGGCGGTGCAGATTGTCCCACGCCTGCCACGCAAACGAGGCGGAGACCAAGGGACGCCAGGGCGTACATCCGACCCCTTGGCAGTGCACATTGTCCCACGCCTGCCACGCAAAAGAGGCGGAGACCCAAGGGACGCCAGGGCGTACATCCGACCCCTTGGCGGCTCACATTGTCCCACGCCTGCCACGCAAACGAGGCGGAGACCAAGGGACGCCAGGGCGTACATCCGACCCCTTGGCTGCTCACATTGTCCCACGCCTGCCACGCAACGAGGCGGAGACAAGGGACGCCAGGGCGTAAATCCGACCCCTTGGCAGTGACATGTCCCCGCCTGCCACGCAACGAGCGGCGGACCCAAGGGACGCCAGGGCCGTACATCCGACCCCTGGCGTTGCACATGGTCCCACGCCTGCCACGCAAACGAGGCGGAGACCAAGGGACGCCAGGGCGTACATCCGACCCCTTGGCAGTGCACATTGTCCCACGCCTGCCACGCAAAAAAGGCAGAGACCAAGGGACGCCAGCGCGTACATCCGACCCCTTGGCGGTGCACATTGTCCCACGCCTGCCACGCAAAAGAGGCGGAGACCAAGGGACGCCAGGGCGTACATCCGACCCCTTGGCTGCTCACATTGTCTCACGCCTGCCACGCAAAATGCACATGAGTGAGTGAGTGAGTGTGTTAGTGAGTGAGAGTGAGTGAGTGTGAGTGTGAGTGAGTTTGTGTGAGTGAGTGAGTGTGATTGTGAGGTGAGTGAGTGAGTGAGTGTGTGAGTGAGTGAGTGAGTGAGTCTGAGTGAGAGTGAGTGTGTGTGAGTGAGTGAGTGAGTGAGTGTGTGAGTGAGTGAGTGAGTGAGTGAGTGAGTGAGTGAGTGAGTGAGTGAGTGAGTGAGTGTGAGTGTGAGTGAGTGAGTGTGAGTGAGTGTGAGTGTGAGTGTGAGGTTTGAGTTGAGTGGTGTGTGGGTGGTGGGTTGAGTGTGTGATGTGAGTGTGAGTGAGTGAGTGTGAGTGAGTGAGTGAGTGAGTGGTGTTGAGGTGAGTGAAGTAGTGAGTGAGTGAGGGAGTGAGGGTTGATGTGAGTGAGGAGGTGAGGGAGTGAGGGAGTGAGTGTGAGTGAGTGAGTGAGTGAGTTGAGTGAGTGAGTGAGTGAGGGAGTGATGTTGTGCGAGTGAGTGACGTGAGTGAGGGAGTGAGTGACTGAGTGAGTGATGTGAGTGATGTGAGTGAGTGAGTGTGTGCGAGTGAGTGAGTGAGTGAGTGAGTGAGTGCGAGTGAGTGAGTGAGTGAGTGAGTGAGTGAGTGAGTGAGTGTGTGTGTGAGTGTGAGTGTGAGTGTGAGTGTGAGTGTGAGTGTGAGTGTGAGTGTGAGTGTGAGTGTGAGTGTGAGTGTGAGTGAGTGTGAGTGAGGAGGAGGACGGGCGGGCGGCGGGCGGACGGGCGGAGGCGGCGGATACAGAACTAAAAACAATTAAAGGACCGGATAACACCACATGTTACCAACTTCTTTAGACTTAGACTGACCATAGAAGAGCAAGAAGGGAAGAGGAAGTATAAGAGTGATGGAGCGGTGATGGTGGGTGAGTTTGTGTGTATGTATGTATGTTCATGCACAGTGAATGAGTGAGAGTGTGAGTGAGTGATGTGAGTGTGGTGTGTGTGAGTGAGGGATGTGAGAGTGAGTGAAGTGAGTGAAGTGAAGTGAAGTGAAGTGAAGTGAAGTGAAGTGAAGTGAAGTGAGTGAGTGGGTGAGCGAGGGAGCGAGGGAGCGAGGGAGCGAGGTGAATGAGTGAGTGAGTGAGTGAGTGAGTGAGTGAGTGAGTGACTGACTGACTGAGTGACTGAGTGACTGAGTGACTGAGTGAGTGAGTGAGTGAGTGAGTGAGTGAGTGAGTGAGTGAGTGAGAGTGTGTGCGTGTGTGTGTGTGTGTGAGTGAGTGAGTGAGTGAGTGAGTGAGTGAGTGAGTGAGTGAGTGAGTGAGTGAGTGAGTGAGTGAGTGAGTGAGTGCGTGTGTGCGTGAGTGAGTGAGTGAGTGAGTGAGTGAGTGAGAGGGAGTGCGTGTGTGTGTGTGAGTGAGTGAGTGAGTGAGTGAGTGAGAGTGAGTGCGTGTGTGTGTGTGTGTGTGAGTGAGTGAGTGTGAGTGAGTGAGAGTGAGTGATGGAGGGAGGGAGGGAGGACGGGAAGGAAGGAAGGAGGACGAGGAGGAGGAGGAGCGGATACAGAACTAAAAACAAAAACCCCACACGTCAATGTGGGGAAAAACCCCACACGTCAATGTGGGGAAAAATTGTTCCTTACCAAAGACTAAAACATATTTGTGTAGCCAATATTTTTTTCATCCTACTTTTTTTTGACATGGATTTTTTTCTTGATCCCTCACTCTGATAGATAGACCATATGTATATACATATATACACATAAATAAATACATACATATACATAGATACATAGAATGATATATATATATATCATATATCATATATATATATATAGAGAGAGAGATAAATGTATAGACACAAATACTCTCACAGAGAAACAAACAAATAGATAGATAGATGGATGGATAGATACATAGAGACGTATAGGTATAGTACAGGGAACAGACAATGTCGTGCCCACGGGCTGCAGAATGCCAGAATTAGCTGCGGAGAAGTTAACGTAAGAAGTCGTGCCTACCCCCTAAACACAAGCGACCTCTGGCGTTTTTGGCGCACTTTTCTTGAGTTTTGTTGCGGTGCCTATGTGTTTCGCTATCAACGCCTACTTAGGGGATTTGCATTGTTGTTGTTTGGATCCAGCGGTGCCATTGGGAACTCCTGCCGTGTCGAGCTGGTTGGGTGCTTGCCTTTTCCTTCGCCCATGGGTTTATCTTCCGGCTGGAAAGCTCTGCGGGTGCAGCAGGGATAGGTGCAGCCCATTCTGGGCCGGGAGTGGCTAGGGTCTGGTTCCAACGTCGTTTCATACGTCGTTTGTACGTCGTTTTGACGTCGTTTCTTCTCCTACTACTGCCAGGAACCTGATTGCCTCTGGTGCCTGCCTGCTGTTTGCCTGCTGCTGCCTCCTGCTGCTGTGCTGCTGCCTGGTTGGAATGAAGGATGTTACTCCAACTAAAACAACAGGAATGGCTGCAAGATCATTTTGAAACCACATCAATTGAATAAGTGCTGCAATGCTGGGTGTAGTCCTTATGACAAGGGAACATGTGAGATTTTTCTTAGCGAATGTGGAATTCCATTGTTAAACAACTCAATCGAAACCATTGGCCACAAGAACAGTTTGAAACCACATCAATTGAATGAGTGCCGGAATGATTGCGGTGACAAGCAGGAAAGCCTTTTAGGCATGACTTAGGCGTGACTTTTGGAAACAGCGGTGACAATAGGGGAAACCCCGTAGGCATGACTTAGGCGTGAGTTTCTCTTTTGCCTGTAATAGATAGATTAGTTAGTTGGTTGGTCAGTGCAGTTAGTTTAGTTTAGGTTGGTTTAGTTATGATTAGTTTACTTTAGTTTAGTCTGCTGGTTTGGTAGTTAGATGGACATATATATATATATATACGTATAAAAATATAGATTGGTAGATAGGAAGGTAGACAGCTAGATACAAAGATGTATGACGGACATGTGTTCACCCCCTATCCTCATTACATCTCCTCATCCCACAGGCACTCGGCCTCGTGAATGGGCTTCTCGAGCGGGAGTTCCCCTGTCAACTTCTGAAATGGCTTACTTGCTCGTGTCAGGCAAGGAAGCTCCCGCAGGTGGCACAGAATCTTGGAGCCTTTCAGAGAGTTTTTCAGCAAGAAAAACAAGCACGAAAAAATCTGAAAAAGGTCTCTTTTGAGTTGCACAAAATTCCAAAGCATAGCGCGCAGGTGAAGTTTATGTAACAGAAGAGAACGGGCATCGAACCTTGATGCCGGAAGGAAGCTGTTTTGGCAGCTCGGACCCAATCATTCTGTGGTCATTTTGCTTGTTTCTTTCTTTGCGTTGGGTGACTAGTGTTCTATCCTGCTGCATGTCTTGTCTCCTGAAGTAGAGCAGAATGTCTACGTAATCTTGGAATGCGTCATTTCTGCCACTCCAAACCACAGACTTTGACGGCTTGTCCCTTTTGTTCAGAACTTCACCTTGCTTTGCCAAGCTAAGGTGAGCATATTCTGATTGGCCTTGCGCCAGGAATTGCCTCCATCGAGCCCAAAACAGCTTGTGAAGTGCAGATGGTGAGCCGGAATGTCTTTGACCCTTGGAACAAAACCTTTGAATTGTTCATTTGCAAACACCATAAATCATCAGCACTGTCTCTCTCTCTCTCTCTATCTATCTCTCTGTATGATCCAGCCTTTGTCTCTGGAACATCAAGGTATGCTTCACATATCATCACCATTCCTAATAACTATCCTGAAAATCCTAAAATGCATTCAAAAACATTCAAATACCATGTGCTCGTAGTTATGTAGTAGTGACATGTTGTTACGCGTTTTTTGCCCAAGACTGATTCCCAACCTCCAATGATTCCAAATCGCCCCAGGAGAAGGTCATGGCGGAGTGCCCTGACGAGCGGGAGACGACGGTTCAAGGCATCCTGGATGAAATGGCCATCAAAGCAGAGCAGAAGCTTGGAATCCAGCGAGGCCCACTGGGATCATGGAGGGATGGATGGATTCATATACTGTATATATGTATATCATATTATATGTATATGTATGTATATTATATACCTACACTATATATATATATATACACACACCTTCTCTCTCTCTCTCTCTTTCTAAGAAATACCTTATGTACACACATTATCATATGCATAAATAAACACATATTATACACATGAAATATCAGGAGCCGAAATGTTTTTTCCCCACCTGCCAGGTGAGGCTTGTTAGATTTTATCAGAGTTGTTCTTCTCCTCCTCGGCTAGCTGTCCTCCTCCTCCTCCTTCTCCTCCTTCTCCTCCTCTTCCTCGCCTCCTCCTCCTCCTCCGCCTCCTCCTCTAGTTTCTCCTCGACCATGTCTGCATCAACTTCCACCTCCACTTCCGCCTTGCCAACTCTTCGCCAAGCTCTTTGCCAACTCTCTTCGCCAAGCTCTTTGCCAACTTCCCAGCTCAGTGTGCACCGCAGGACCTCAACCTGGGACCTTCCGAGCTCAGTGTGCACCGCTGGACCTCGACCTGGGACCTTCCCAGCTCAGTGTGCACCGCTGGACCTCGACCTGGGACCTTCCCAGCTCAGTGTGCACCGCTGGACCTCAACCTGGGACCTTCCCAGCTCAGTGTGCACCGCTGGACCTCAACCCGGGACCTGCCCAGCTCAGTGTGCACCGCTGGACCTCAACGGCCAGATAGAATGCCAGAAGATATGCCAGATAGAATGTCAGATAGAATGCGAGAAGATATGCCAGATAAAATGCCAGATAAAATGTCAGATAGAATGCCAGAAGATATGCCAGATAAAGTGCCAGAATGTTTGCCAGATAGAGTGCCAGAAGATGTGCCAGATGATATGCCAGAAGATATGCCAGATAGAATGCCAGATGGAATGCCAGAAGATATGCCAGAACATTTGCCAGAAGATACGCCAGGTAGAATGCCAGAACATTTGCCAGATAGAATGCCAGAAGATATGCCAGATAGAGTGCCAGAAGATATGCCAGGTAAAATGCCAGAACATTTGCCAGATAGAATGCCAGAAGATTTGCCAGAAGATGTGCCAGAAGATATGCCAGATAGAGTGCCAGAAGATATGCCAGGTAAAATGCCAGAACATTTGCCAGATAGAATGCCAGAAGATTTGCCAGAAAATATGCCAGAAGATATGCCAGATAGAATGCCAGAAGATATGCCAGATAGAATGCCAGATAGGATGTCAGAAGATATGCCAGAAGATATGTCAGATAGAATGCCAGATAGAATGCCAGAAGGTTTGCCAGAAGATATGCCAGAAGATATGCCAGGTAGAATGCCAGAAGATATGCCAGATAGAATGCCAGAAGATATGTCAGATAGAATGCCAGAAGATTTGCCAGTAACAAAATGGATAAATGTCATGGTGGGGATCACACGAAGTAAAGTAGTTTGCAGAAGTCAAGGTCAGAGGACTTTGATTTGATCTTTACATTTTGAAGCTTTATTCATGAGGGATTCCGAAGTGAAAGAGATACCACGACCATCCACAACCGTAACATGCACCAGGTCATCCCGACCTCTTGCTTTGCAGTGCGCTATTCAGAGCAGCGAATCCAGACTTCATGAAGTTGATGCGCTGCTTGGCTGTGCCAGTACCCAAACCTTGTTTGCCCTCCCAACTGGTGCACCATGGACGATTTCTTCATGTTTCTTCAGTGTGGATAAAGGCTGCGGTACCATTCATTCACAGCTGAAGATGCCACATCACTTGGTACTGCAGTTGACGAAGGTGAACTGATCATAATTATGGTCATGACTTGAGGTCCCAAAATGTATGCAATGCTCTTCAAGGCCAAGGGTCGCAAGGGATGGCATTTTTCGGCGTTTTTGACATTTTTTGACCACTTCCATTGCCGAAACCCCGAAACCGGCCTGGAGGCTGGAGATTGGATCACCCGAGAGCGCGATTATGCCAACCACATGTTCATCGTTGTCCGGGGAAGCGCAGCTGTGAAGGATGGCAACGACACGGTGCTTCGCTTTAAAGCAGGACTTGCCAAAGCTGAAACCCATGGGGATGCTGAACAGATCTGAACAGTTGATAAACGGTGGAAGGTCCTCAATGGAACCGGATCATGGCAGTACGCAGCTTTGAAAAAATGCAGTTTGTCCTGCCAGGAGCTGGTATTTCGGAAGCATCACTTTTGGGGGCATGTACCTTCCATCCGTACGTAGCGCCTCAGACTGAACATTAAAACCATAAAAGATCTTAACATATCTTGGATAATAAAACATTATAAAACCGGATCAAATCAAAGTGCAATCTGCTTGCGTCGAATCTTGGTGAGGTGAAGGCTGAAAATCTGTGTTTGATTCTGGCACTGTCCCGCGATGATTTCAACGCCTTGACCTCAGTGTCACTGCCTTTGACATTTTCGGACTTTGTTGCGTTTTGCCAACCAGTTTGAGGATGGAGAATGATTCATGGTCAACGCACGGCACATGCAAATTCTATAGATGAGTAGTTTCTTATAGTACAACCCTAAGGCAACTTCCGCCCCGCCCCGTGCGGGTATTACTGGTAATGGTTGACAATGTTTAATACTTTGAGAGATTGGCAACAATTTCTCCTCTTCGTTCATTGTGTTCAGGAAGTGCTGGAAGATTTCCCTACGGAGAGGGAATTGCTTCTTTGGCTGAACATTGTCCCACACCAAACAAAAATCTTTGTTTTCAAAGCTGGGAAAGATTTCGGCTGTGTCTACTCAGCATCGCTATCCTATGTCCATCCATTATCACCACTTGTGACTGTGTTCTTTTGGGAAGAGCTGACAGTGACATGCGGACCCTGCACTCACATCGCTTTGAGATCCAAGGTTTCAACGTTTAGATGCTGATTCTGAGGATGGATGGGTTGCATTGGGTTGCTGCAAGTGCTGACTGGCAAAGACTTCGTCTGACTTGGCACCTGGCAGGACATTCTTCGCAGACTCCCTCGAGTCCTCAAGATCCAGCATCCGTTGTTTGCTTCGTCCAGTGGTCTGACCGCAGCAGGTTTCCGGAGTCACTGCTTGGATGGAAATTCCTGTTGTTCATGCTCTATTCACAATCATTGCAAACTTCAAGCTCTTTGACGTATATAAGGTATAGAGTTCTTGAAGGTTGCCTGCGAATTTGCAGACGAGGACTGCCATGAAGCTCGATCATTCTGAAGTATTTGAAGCTTGTTCCCTTCTCCACTTGTGCGAAAACCATGAAAAAACAGTTGAACAAGGGCCAGTTGGGACACCATGGCACACGCTTCAAAGTCTCCCCACCCAGACTGGCGCAGGTATATTACGCCCCTGGTGAAGAAATCATTGCATATGGAGAGAGTTGCAGCCTGGGGAAGACAGTCATGTTTGCCAGCTGCATTTAAGCATGTTTTCCATTGTTTTGCCTTCCTTTGAGATCGCATGGCATCTCCATAGATGGTGATATGAGGGTGACACCAGACATTTGCTTGACCAGGTACTTGCTTGTAGCTGGCAACGCCTCTGTGATTCTTGCACATGGAGACGAAGTTGCCCAAATCAAGTCAGGCACAAATCGAAAATGCATGATACATGCTAATAGACAATGATACATGACAGTTGGAGACGTAATGGGAAGTGGATTGCAGCACAATGACTCCGCTCTGAAGGGCAGCCAAAACTCTCATGTATTCGTTTGGTCATGGGTAAGGGGGTAAGGTAGCTCCGCGGAAGTGAACCCCCACACCGCGGAAGCCCGCGCAAGTGCCCCGAAAAGCAATTTTGCGGAAGCGCCGCAGAACCAGAAATGAACCCAATCCTTCCATCCAAACCCCAAAAAGGTTGGGAATGCGTCGCGGAAGACCCAATTGTTGTACAAAAGAACGATAGATATCGATAGATTATACAGGTACTCGATATTACTCGATGGTATTCAGGTTTTGGCCCTCAACTCTGTTTCTGGTAGGTGCCCTGGTTGGAGAAGGCGGTGCACTTGGCATTGCCAACAAGAGATCCACGAAAATTGGTGCCTGGAAGGCAGGTTTTTCACTTTCTCATACTGCCTTGCAACTGGAAGCTTGATGCTGCCGTGCATGGAGAAAACACCATGAAATACACACTCTACATCACTCTACGAAGCCTGAAGGCTGGAATGGTTCGTCTCATCCGATTGCAAGGCTTATCCATTGGAAAGGTTTCGTGTCCGAAAAGCTGCTATTGGAGATACATTTGCTTGTGGTTTTGTTGGGTTATGTGTTGTTTTTCTCCTGCTGTTTGATCACTGTCACTACCAAGGCAGTGCAGAGATGTCCGGAGGATTGCAAGGCATTGGAACTCCAATTCCAACAACGTTTCTTGGCACTGTTAGCCGAGTTTACATTTCACACAGCTTTCACATGCTTTCACCATCCGTGCAATATGCTTCCGATCATTTTCGAGATGCACACAATAATTGCTGTACAAATGACCGCCGCAAGCACCTTGTAAGGTCCATAGCATAGCCATCTTCATCTATTTTCCACAATCTCTTTAGATAGCTTTCATACTGCTGTGTTTTGTGACGATGGGAGAATAGAGGAAACCTCCTGCTTTCTGCAGCCTGGCAGTGGCTAGCTGGATGGTCACAGGGCAAAAGCCAGGATTCTAATGGTGTATCATGATGTATCCATATTGTCCATGCAGTATCATCTATATAAAATATAATCCCCATATGTATCATTATGTCATTATGTCATTATGTATCCTCGATATCATTATTTTCAAGCGGCGTTGCTTCAAAGAGCCGTTGGTCAATGGCTGATGACCCAGGTTCCCAGAAGAATGCTGCAGCGGAGGCAATCAGGAAAGAGTGGATTGCCAAATCTGTGATTCCTTTGTTGAAGGGGTGCCAAATCTTAAACGGATTCTCCACCAAGCTGGTCTCCAAGATTGCGGCCCCACTGCTGAAGACCTCGTTTCTTGGAATCAGTGATATCCGATTCACGAAGAATCTCTAGCGGAAAGGTTCCTGGCGCAGCTTTGCAAAAACAATCAAAAACAAATCTAACACATTCCAACATGTTCATCATATTCCATGCCGAAGCTCAAGAAGTCAAAGTCTTTGAATTCTCTTCAACAGCAAGTGGAAACGAGGGCTGGGTTGGGATACTCTGGTGCTGTATTTCAGATATTGATCCAATTGTCCTGCTGCAATGCTACAAAGGTTTGCAGCTGGACAGGATATGTTTGTGGCCGGTGATTCAGCTGACTCAATGAGCCTTGGCTGTTGCAAATCCTTTGCATTCCTTTTCGCTTCTTTTCAGTCATGCATTAAAAAACTCACAAAAGCTTACTGTGCCCCAGAATCTCTTTATTTTTTCACACACTGCGAGGCGACAGCAGGCTTTCCTCAGAAACATGAATCGTGTTTTAAGCTGACCCGAAGGATTGTGATTGTTGACGGTGAAGCCGAAGCCAGATGCAAACAAGGAAAGGTGGTCCCTTAGCCAAATCCAATTTGGGTGTGTTTGACAATGGGGTATACCGGTATACCCCCCAAATGGTCAATTTTCATACGGGAAATGATGATTCAGCTGTTGATTTTGGGGGAAGCTATTTTCAGACAGACCCATCACATGATGCAATCGAATATGGCTCTGGATCAAACTCATACCCCCCAAATTACGTGATGGCATTATATACCACTGTTGTATATTCTGTTGGGTTTTGGGATTGTCACCAGGATACCAATTTGATCCATGCATGATATGTGGATATATGTGGAACAAGTAGTGAGTAGTGGAAGGCTGTGAGAGAGAGTGTCATTCTTAATCTTTTAGAGCGTACGACAACCATCAGTATCTTTTAGAAAGTCTCGCTTAGCCTTCGCTTCCTTATGTTTTTCCCGAGAGCGTCTGAGCGAAGGGTTCTTCTAATAGTGTGGGTCTGTCAAACATTTTCACATATTCAAATTTTCACATAACATGTAAAATCTTCCCATCTTCTCATCATTTTCTCATCTTATCATCTTCTCATCTTCACATCTTCAAATCTTCTGATCTTCACATCCTCACATGTTCACATCTTCTAATCTTCACATCTGCTCATCTTCTCATCTTCACATCTGTTCATCTTCACACCTTCTCATCCTCACATCATCACATCTTCTCATCTTCACATCTGCTCATCTTCTCATCTTCACATCTTCACATCTTCTCATCTTCACATCTGCTCATCTTCTCATGTTCTCACCTTCACATCTTCACATCTTTGCATTCTCTCTTGCCCTCTTGCTCTCTTCACATCTTCTCATCTGCACATCTGTTCATCTTCACATCTTCTGATCTTCTCATCTTCTCATCATCTTCTCATCTTCACATCTGTTCATCTTCACATCTTCTCATCTTCACATCCTCACATCTTGACATCTTCTCATCTTCACATCTGCTCATCTTCTCATCTTCACATCTTTACATTCTCTCTTGCCCTCTTGCCCTCTTGCTCTCTTGCCCTCTTGCTCTCTCCTTTTTTTCTATTTCTCTCTTGAAGGCGCGGGGCAGTGCCAACGAGACGGCACGAAACGCAACCCTTTCGCACGAAATGAGGTTCGATCGCCAAAAACTGAAGTAAAATTGCGATTTCTCGCTGCCCGTCGCAACCCTTTCGCACGAAATGATGTTCGATCGCCAAAAACTGAAGTAAACTTGTGATTTTTAATTTGCGCTTGTCCGAGTGCAACCCTTTCGCACGAAATGAGGTTCGATCGCCAAAAACTGATTTAAAATTACGATTTCTCGCTGCCCGTCGCAACCCTTTCGCACGAAATGATGTTCGATCGCCAAAAGCTGAAGTAAAATTGCGATTTCGATTTGCGCTTGTCCGAGTGCAACCCTTTCGCACGAAATGATGTTCGATCACCAAAAACTGAGGTAGAACTGCCATTTTGATTTGCGCTTGTCCGACTGCAACCCTTTCGCACGAAATGAGGTTCGATCGCCAATGAAATAAAATTGCGATTTGCAAAGCGTCCGGCGCAACCCTTTCGCACGAAATGAGGTTCGATCGCCAAAAACTGAAGTAAAATTGCGATTTGCAAAGCGTCCGGCGAACCCTTTCGCACGAAAAGAATCGAAAAGATGTTCGATCGCCAGAAATTGCGATTTCTCGCTTTCCGTCTCATCCCTTTCGCACGAAATGAGGTTCGATCGCCAAAAACTGAAGTAAAATTGCGATTTGCAAAAAGTGCCGGCGAACCCTTTCGTGCGAAATGAGGATCGATCGCCAAAAACTGATGTAAAATTGCGATTTCACGGGCCCGATTTCAAAAGCGTCTGTGTGTAAAAGCGTCTGTGTGTAAAAGCGTCTGTGTGTAACAGCGTGTAAAAGCGTCTGTGTGTAAAAGCGGCTGTGTTTAAAAGCTTCTGTGTGTAAAAGCGTCTGTGTGTAAAAGCGTCTGTGTGTAAAGGCTTCTGTGTTTAAAATTATCTGTGTGTAAAAGGGTCTGTGTGTAAAAGTGTGTGTGTGTGAAACATCTGAATAAATGTAAAACTTCTACTTTTACATGGCATCTGGATTGTTGTAAAACTTCTAACTTGAGCAGGGGGCCGCTGGGGAACATTGCAGTCAGCGGCCAACGAAGACGCTGCAATGTTCCTGTGAAAACGTACCTGCAATTTTCCAGTTTTTCGTCAATGGGAACCGGCTAAGCCAAGAACCGGCATGTCGTTTTCAAACAATTTTCAAACCACACTTGATGTCAGGGAGGGAACGATTTGCATCTAGCAAGGACGTGGAAATACAAACTTCGAGATTCTTCTCTGATCTTGTCTTCATACTTGTCCTGTCAGGTTTAATTGAGTGTTTTTGCACGTACGATGCATTCCACATCAGAATTCGCAAAGATTGTTCTGAGCAAGTGTGTGATTCATGCTGGATTCGTCAAGGTGGCATGAACCCTTCTGGGAATGCTTTTCTAAGCAGAATGTGGATGGAACGAACCGATGTCTGAATTTACACATTTTAATTTAGTAATTCGTTTAAGTAAAGTGAAACAGCCGTTCACCTTTCAGGTTTCACTCTGTCGGTCGTCTTTTGGTTAAACAGTCTGCCGCTGTGACTGGCCTCACCATTTTTGTCAGACTTCAAAGGGTTTGTAGACTGAAGCCGCGACAACAATCTCCTTTTTTCAGCAATGCTCGAGAGACAGGCTGATTTCATTTGTCACATGTCATGTTTTGGCCGGGCAATAGGACATGCTTTACAGGTGTGGTCACTTTCTTTTGGTTACTCTGGTGAGGTTCAATTGTGCACGTAATTCAAGGGTTGACGACGTAAGCCGTTTACAGGGTTGTGAAATGAAAGCAGACGGCCTCTGAGCCATATCACGATTCCTGCATGACTTGTGGATGCATCATCATTAACTAGTCCCCCATGGGTCCCCTATTTCATGTGTTCCTGCGTCCTCCTCTCTACAGGTAGGTTGGGTTCTGCGCGTGCTTAGGTAGGTGTAGGTTTCGCTGTGGTAGGTTGGTTCAGGCGCTTCCGTCCTCCCCCCCTCCGCTGGTCTTGTTCCGTGTCCGTCTGCCTCTGCCTTTCTTTTCCCTTGCCCTTCCAGCTTTGGCGCTTTGTGCGTTTACAAGGTTTATAACGAAGGTTACAACCATGTACAGTCACTTAGCGGAATCCTCGCAGCTAACCACTTATCAGGACTTATAACCACTTAACTCAGCAAATCCTCGTGGCCAGGAAAATGCCCACGAGGGACCCCAAAAAGGCCACGAGGCGTTGTACAAACCACGGTTTTAGGTAGGCAGGAAATTCAGGTGCTCAAGTACAAGTGTTAACCTGCGCAAAGGACTTGTACCACAAAAACCAAAACAGGTATTGCACAAATCCGGGGAATTCAGCTGCTGAAACACAAGCGTTTACCCGCAAAATTAACATGCACAACTAAGTCAAGAAAGAAGACACAAAACAAATCCGCCAACTCAGAACATGTCAGGTTTTGGCGCCGGCAGGATTTGATAGGAATAGGCAAGAATGAAAGGATGCATACAATCGTCAAACAGCCATGTAGCAGTAGCACCATGAATCACGCAACCTCATGCGAAATTATTGTTCGAAAGAGAAAAATTGCGGAACTATATTCAAAACGGTGCAACTACGAAAAACTGGTCAAGATCCAATGCATTTTTTTCTTGCGATACATGTTTTTTTCCTGCAATGCATGTTTCTAAAGGTTTTGGCCCCGATACGGCCCCGATACGGCCCCGCCACGGGCCCGATACGTCCCCGATACGGCCACCGAAGTGCATTTTTCCAAAAATTCAACCGCCAAAGGCTGGCATTTTTGAAAAAATCGGAACTATAAAGAATTGATTGGAGCTATCCGTGGTGAAGAGTCTTGGACTGATTTGTCATGATTTGTTTTGCTTTTGCGAACTTTACGTGATAGAAAAATTGGTGGGTTTGTGTGAAAATGAAAAAGTGCGAAACCAAACATCCTGAAGATATTTTTTTTGACGCCATGCCGCCATGCCTTTGGCAAAAAAGCAGCATGAAAACAACGGCGTTGGTTTTGAGGTAGATCTTCAAATGTTTCAATCTGTGTGTGCTGCATGTCCTTCAAACAATCTAAAACCCCTTGCTGTTCTTTTTTGCGGCTGTGTTTTTGGTGAATTTGCAAAGAGAAAGCATGCAAGAAAAGCACATGTGAATTCCTGCAGACACGCCTGCGTAATTCATAATGTGAACTCTTACAGGCTTGGCTACGCACCTGCTTCAAAAACAGAACACATCACATCCAAAGATACTTTTGCACAACCCACGAGAAAGCACGACCACTTAGGGGACTTAGCTAACTCCACTTATAAACACTTAGCCACGTGGTCTTTGGGCCTTTTACTAACTGGCCTAAGTCTGAACTAACTATTTACAATTGAGCTGTGACTTATAACTGAGAAGGCTCAAACTTAGCCACATTATAAACTCATTTGGGGTAGATATAACCCCACTTGGGCAACTTATAAACCAAGTTGTAAGTTGCGCAACTTCAAAAAAACACCAAAGAGGTTTTGCCCGCGTTGGGCCAGGTGTCCTGTGTTGGTGTTTTCTCCTTCCCTCTTCTTTTGCGTTCCCCTCTTCGCGTCCTGGTTAAGTAACTTTCATCTCATTTTCATCTTCACTTCATCTTCATTTCCTTTCATTTCATTTCCATTTCACTGTCCAGACCTTAATTTTCCCACCCTCCCGCGGGAGGGTGTATGTGTGAAACATCTGAATAAATGTAAAACTTCTACTTTTACATGGCACCTGGATTGTTGTAAAACTTCTACTTGAGCAGGGGGCCGCTGCGGCACATTGCAGTCAGCGGCCAACGAAGACGCTGCAATGTTCCTGTGAAAACGTACCTGCAATTTTCCAGTTTTTCGTCAATGGCAACCGGCTAAGCCAAGAACCGGCATGTCGTTTTCAAACAATTTTCAAACCACACTTGATGT